TCTGCAAAGAAAATAAAGAGAAGGCAAACTGGGGGGCAGAGAAAAGCTCCCTTCACTGTTTAAACATGCAAGTAACAGAGACATGTTTAAAGAAGAAAAAGCACTAAAAACCAAAGAACAATTTGAAAATGGCCCCTCACCGAGAAGGTACTGAAAGGGAAGAAAAGGAAGATCAACCCAAGTTTTTCTCCCGCTCTTAACTCTTCACTCCTAACATATTGGTTCCATCGATCAAAAACACAAACATGACAGATTTTATGATTTTCCAGAAGATAGAAACTTGACAGAGTAACAAACTTTAGAGCTATCTACGTTACCTCGGGTTTACAAGCCTTGCAGAGTGACCCAAGAGAGTTAGCAAGGTCAGGATAACAAGATGAAGACTCGGAACTCTTTTGGTTAGGAGAAATAACATGAAGTAAAGTAAGCAAATCGCCCTTGTTAGCTACATGAGTAAGAGCCCACATCATTGCATGCTTACAATGTGAGCTTTGATCCACTACAACCATCACTCTCTTCCTTATCACCAAGCCATTATCGACACCATTGCCATAAATGTTAAGCCCTTCCATCTGAGTTAAGCTTGTCTCAAACCTACCAGAACTATTCCCACCGACGTTGTTGTATCTGCTGTTCCCTCCCCACCTCCAGGATGTGGATTTCCAAGCTTCTTTTCCACTAAGCTGCCTCAAAAATGAAGCCGAAGTAGGCATTTTTCTGTTACTTGAATTAGCCAAAATTGGCTGGCTAGACTCTTAAGTACACTAACTAGTAATTAAGAGAAAGACTCTCGGACTACAAACAGCAGGCCAGTAGCAACACAAACAGGGAGAAAAGAAAGAGATGGAGGGTGAAGTTGGGGCCTTTGGGGTTTCTGGTAAGTCGTGGGGCTTTAATATTGAGAGGAGACTGAGCGTAACAGAGCCAACAGTGCCTAAAAATGAACTGAAAGCTAAAAAAGAAAAAGAAATACAGGAGAGAGAGAGAGAGAGAGTCAAAAAACAGTGATGGATGGCAGAACGGAGGAGTTAAAGTGGTGGAGAGGGGGAGGCAACAGTGATGATGCAAAACCACGACAATTTATCTTTGTTGCAGGTTGAAGTCACGGGAATCCCTTGCTATTCTGTGGCTTTACACTAGAGAAGTCCTTCGTAAAAACAATTGCAATAGTCAGGTTCTTGTCATGATGAAAGACAGGATTCCTTTTTCTTTTCTACTGCCAAATGCCAAAACCTTACCATTTCCCTCTATTATTTCAGATTCTTTCTCTACTACAACATATTTTTAGTTTCTTTCTTTCCTCTCAACACCTTTGCTTCTGATAATAACATAAACGGAAAATGAATTATATATATATATATGGTCATACATTTTCAATTATTGCAAAGAAATTTAATGAATTTGCCCATGTCTATGATGAAAAGTGTTTTTCATGCCAGCGAAGAAGGGCACATGGTCCTTTCTTTTCTCTTCTTTTTTCCTTCCTTGGGGTAGAGTTCCTCGAGACCACTTTCAACTTGTAATTTAGTTGCAACACACCATTTATGTTTAGCCAACTCTTTTTCAAGGTGACCACAGATGGGGTAATGGACCCCTTTCTCCTTTATGGCCGATGCCTCAACAGCCCGGTCTCTCTTGGTCGGCTCTAACGCTTCCAACTATGGCTACCTATTATCTAACACATAATTACTTGCTTTACATTCTCTTAACTTTGAAATAAATTAGCTTCATACTCATATACATTAATAATCCACCACTTCTCCAAGATTAACAAAAATAATTGTAAAATTAATGGATTTATTTTATTTTAATTTTTGGGTTAATAAAGATTTTGGTTTCTGTTTTTGAGAAAAATCATGCATGGCTCCCCGTACGATGGAGGGAAAGTCTCTATCCAATAAAGAAGCGGCTTGTTTTTTTTTTATGATTTTTTTTTGTTCTGTTTTAATAAGAACAACAAAGGTGCATAAGATTTAGATTCTCATTAAAGAAATGTCATGTCAGAATCAAAATGCGAAAACCCAACTTTAGAAGGAGAGGGATGGGAATACGACATCATAAGTATTCAATTTTTGTTATATTTTATTTATTTATTTTAAATTTTATTATTATTATTTTTTGAATAATTTTCATAACGATAGAAAAATATGTATCTCAAACATGAATAATCTTCCTATTAAATAACAAAATCAATGATTAGATTAACAAGTAGCAAATACTTAGGTTGTTGATAATCAATGACTAAAGATTTGATAATCCAATTTGAAAATTTGAATTTAAAATTTAAAATGGACAAATAAGATTTAACGGAATAAAAAAAAGATTATTTTTATATAGCACCGTGTCGTATATAAATAATTAATGGTGGGTTTATAAACACAAGAAGATTATTTTAACATGATTAGAACTTAGTCCATAATGATTTTTTGTTTCTTTTATATTTTTTGGGCACGATCCATGAACACGATGAGCTTAATTGCCGGTGCTTCACAGCTTGCATGCTCCCCCAATACTGGAAAATGGTTTCCGCATTTATTACCAAGGTTAAAAAGAAAGCAAAATGATCTTATTATTCATTTTGAAAAAATGATTTCGTCTTACTGGATTAATTCTTTTTTTTTTTTAGAAAATATATCAAAAGTATAAAGAGAGATTGAAACTTGGAATCTTCAACTTTAATTTTCCTTAAAATAAAATAAAATTTCACGTAAACGAAAGATGAAATATATTCTGCTATCAGACAGAAAGGCATATTTAATAAATAAAAAACCCATCAATTTCTTAGGTGAGTGTGACCCAGGGCTACATACAAAAGAGTCAATGGAGATTGAAACTATAGTTGACATTAACCCTTGGTAAAACGTAGGAATTTTTTTTTATCCTTCGAGAAAAAGTTTTTGCTTTTCTTTTTTTTAAAAAAAAAAAATCTTTTGGCTTATCATTCAGACGTCAGTCAACAGTAAAGAATCCTGCTCTGACGCACGGCTTATAATTACGTCAATTTTTTATTCAATTACTTTATACTTTTTAGTGTAAAGTAATTAATTAATTATATTATAAAAAAGTAAATAAATAATTAATTAATTAAATGAAGGGAAATGTCAGAAAAGGGATTGAGGGGGTGGGGGGCCTCGTAAATTGGGTTTCTCATTGCTCAGTTCCTGCGTCCAAATTATTGCACCCGAGTAACCCGCTGCGGCAGTGTGCTTCTTTTTCTTTATCAAATTTACACTTATACCCTTTGTATTCTTTGCTTAGCCTTTTCGATGGAAAATGGAAATATTACCCCATTTGATTAGGGATTTGAGAGGTTTAGAAAAAAAAATGATGCTTTTCTTTTATTGTGTAGCTTTTTAAATAATAAAAAATGAAATATTTAAATTAATTATTATATGTAATAAAAAATAATATTAAAAACTATGGGCCTCGTCAGCGAAACCCATTGTAAAATTACACGCTATTCCTCTCTCTTTCATAAGACCGTACGTTTTGTCGTTGAGAGAGTGAATTAACTCGATTAATTTGGAAAAAAATTTCTTGATCCGCTGTCGTTGATGTTATTTAAGATACAAATTACACTTTGAATGTAAATTTAATCCCTCATATATATTAAAAAAGAAAAAAAAAAGTAAAACGTCATGTTTCTAATGATGATTCGTAAACGAAGAGTGTCAGGAGGAGGCAGTAGTTGAGTGATAAGGCTTTACACGACCCTAGTGTAAGCAACCAGAGGGTATCACCTGCCAGATTACTTGGTATTTTACTTTTTCCGTAATTTAGTAATAGAATACAAACAAAATCAGCTTGTATGGGAATTTGTGCATAAAACTGAAGCAATGGCATTTGAATCAGATTTCCCCGTGCTGGACTTGAGAAAAAAGAGGGAAAAAACAAGGGAGGGAGAATACAGACGAATTAGTATTCAGCTCGTGAATTGGAATAATAACCAACAATAAAATAATCTCTTAGTATGGCCGGTGCTGAGACCAAGCATTATACTGTACTATACTATACTTTGAAAGCATTATTTTTGTAGAGGATTTTTCTGGTAAGAATGGAGGATATATCGTAATTAGTGAATCAAAATGTACTACAAGTGGCAGAGAAGAAGATTAAAGCAGTCATCAAAATGTAAGAGCTTTGGGTGACTAATGGTGAGAGATGAGAAAAAGTAGAGGAAGCAACGAATTGCAATTAATGAATGAGAAAAGTTAAATAAAAAGAATGTTTAAAGGAGTCTCAATAGTGTTTTAATATAATCTCTACTAGGTTTCTAATGATTTCTCATTACCTTTCAGCTTTCAAAGTTTTTTATTTATATTGAACATGAATATTTTTTTAAAAATAATTAAAAAATTACATTCAATTTTGAGATAATGTATTTTTTATAGAATAACAGTTAAAAAACAATTTAGAGGATATTAAAAAAATGATCATGTAATTAAGTAATGAACATAAATTTTACTTTTGAACACTTTCGTGCTTGAAATGCCATTAAGTTCTTTTGCGCTTAAAATATCCCTTTGATGTTTTTACACTTGAAATACCTTAAGCACTTTTACTTTTGAAAATGTCTCTACACGCTTCTACGCTTGGAACAGCTTTAGACACTTTTACACTTAAAACGCTCTCTAGATGTGTTTACGCTTACGATACCCTTAATATAATTTTTTTTATAAACAATACTTTAAAAATAATAATTAACCAAAAATAAATATCTATAATTTTTAAAACAAAATAGGGCTTCCACGTATAACTTCCATGTGTAAAATTTTTTAGCTTATATAAATACCCTTTATTTTCATATAATTATGCTTTCATTAACATATAGGTCATTTTATATATGATATGTATTTATTGAATTTTGGCTACACATGCAATTATCGATTCTTCTTATACATGTATTTGGCTATTTTATTAATGTGTACGAAATCTTATTTTAGATGCGGTTTTTTTTTCTGTTTCATATTTTTGGCCTTGTTTTCTTCTTTGTGTTCAAATTAAACTCAAGGCATAATATTTTAAAAAATCAAATTATTTATAAAATTTTAAATAAATTTGTATTATAATTATTATTAATTAAAATTAAAATTTATTATTTTATATTATGTAATATTAATATTATATATTAACATATTTTATTAATGGATTTTAGGTAAAAGGACAAGCACAGGGTTGGATAGGGGGAATCGTGCGGGAGAGAACAACATAATGAGATTTGTGCAAATGTGGGCAACGGCTCCAGGGCTACAGCTACAGGCTAAAGAGGAGAGTATAGCAGGTATTGGGGCACAGGCTGGTTGAGCACGGAAAAAGCCAAATGAATCAGAAAGGGCAAAAGGGTAGTATTTTCCCCCGCGGCACTATTATGATCAGGAATCATTTTGGTTTTGATTCTCTCTCTCCTGGCTGCTGTAGGGTCATTAGCTTAAATGGTTTCCCTTTTTATATTCCAAAGAGGACCAAAGAAGAAGAGAGAAGAATGACTTACTCAAACTAGCTGGACAAGAGGGTCTGGTTCATTCAATGGAATTATTAATGACATTTTGTTCAAATATTTCTCCCTTTTGATCATTTACTACTAACTTTTTTTCTCTGTAAACATATGGGTGACATGAGGTAAGTGTAATACAAACTTGGCAAGGATTGGAAATTGAAAATAAGTAGTGCAGCAGTAAAGAAGAAGAATGAGTGAAGTAGGGGAAGAAGAAATTAATATGCTGGAAATGTTATTAATACGGGAGCACCATTTTGAGCCACTACGGATACAAAGATCAACCTTTACGTAATATAAGCAACCTAGTTTCACCTATGTATTGAAGCATTGTTAACATGATTATTCAATGCTCCAATATTGCTGCTACATGAGATATAAATGTTTGTACAGGGGAGATTAGGTTGCTATCTTGTCATGGTTGTTTTTAACTCAACTTGCCCAAGCTACACAACCTGACAACATGAGATTTAAGAAGGCAAGCAGGTTATCTGAGTATCATCAAACACCAAGCTAGCTACAGCATTTATAATTGAGATAAATGCACTCAACTGCTTTTCAAAAATGTACATTGCATTGGCTACTAAGTAAAGGGAAACTCCCACCACGAAAGTAAGACTCCTGCTTCTCATGAACACATGCCAATGCCCAATATTATATTATATATATATGATCCCAAATTTCTTCCACGAAATGATGATTGTATATTCAAAGGAGCTACATGGGAAAGTAACTGGCAGATAGACAAGGAAAAACTAATGAAGCGGAAAGGACAAGGTCACTTGGGGCCATTGTCATGATGGTCTCTTGGATTTCTTTTCAGAACACGTA